CATCCACCCCGCAGCAAAGCGCTGCTTTCAGAGGCTTCCCTGGGTGCATTTCCACTGCCTGATTACCTGCTGGGAAAGCCTGGAGAAGCCTCTGACACCCTGTGCCAATCAGCTGTGAGGCGGGGAGGGAGGTGGGAGAGGAAAGAGCACACATACCCCGCCCTCCCCCCCAAGCAAAGCATCACTTTCAGAAGCCTCCCGGGGCTTCATCTTGCAAAACAGGGCCACAGGAAAAATCGTCTTGTGAGGCACAAAAACCTTCACCGGACCCATTCGTCTAGCGAGTTTTTCATCCAGCGAGGCAGTCATCTTGCGGGGCACCACCGTATATCCATAGGACTCCAATAATTTTGTAACCTTGGCATCTCTACCCAATTAGGTTTAGGATTTGAACTTCAGGACAATGTGGACCAATAGTATTCTAGAATTTTATGGCTCTTTGTTATGTTATAAAACATCTGTACACTGTATTTTGGAGTCTTCCCTGGCTTTAAGAAAAGTCCCAGCTAACTTCATTTTGAATTCTGAATAAAGTTGGACTTTGGTTTAGCTGGTTGAGTCTTATCTGACCCCTTGCCGGAGGCCAAAACCAGGAAACAGTAACCATGTTCATTCAGACCAGCATATTGGAAAAATTAAAGGGCGGGGGGGAGATTGGAAGACAAAAAAAGTTAGCAAATGATTCGAAGAAATGGATACACAAAAGTTCACACAAAAATAAATGAGCTACTCTTTAAAGTATAACAATACTTTGCCTTTATTTCTCCTTTTCTCTCTCCCCCACATTAATTGTGAGACTGAGAGTAACACTCAGGGTGTTACTCAGGGTGTAACTTCTGTCTCTCCTAACCACCCTTATAGAAAAAAACAAGACATATAAGTGTGAGGGAAGAAACAGCAAGGGGTGATGTTTTGGTGGAAAAGGAGAACAAGAAGGAAAATACAAGAGAGGGAGAGGAGGAGATATGCTAGGTGAGAGAGAAGAGGGAGGGAAGAAGGAGAAGCAGAGTGATGTAGTGGAAATACAGTGGTGCCTCGACTGACAAGGATAATCCATTCCAGGAAAATTGCTGTAGAACGAAATCCTTGTCAAGCGAAAATTTAAAAAACCATTGAAACGCATGAAAAACCGGTTAATGTGTTCCAATGGCTAAATACCTCACCGTCCAGCGAAGATCCTCCATAGAGTAGCCATTTTCTGCTCCCTGTCTTGTGAAGAATCTATCCTGAACACAGCGGGGAGTCACTTTCTACAGCCGGTGGCCATTTTGAAACCCAACAATCAGCTGTTTTCTGATCATCGTATAGCGAATTTTTCATATTTAAAAATCATTTAGCGATCGCAAAAGCGATCACAAAAACACATCGTCAAGCAATTTCCTCGTCTAACAAGCGGAGCACCAGTGTAGTAGAGGAAGAACCTTGGATGGGACAATGGGTTGAGTTTAAGGTGCCCAGAGAATATGCAGAGAAACAGTGGAGAAGGAAAACATATATGAACCCTCCTTACTGAGGGGAGACCGAGGAAAGGAAACAGTGTAGAGAATATAAAGCATGACTGGAAAGAGAGTCACAGAGACGAGCGAACAGGAGCTGTGTGGAAACCTCTGACCAATCTCGTGGGAGCAGCCCCTTCAGATCACAACTGAGACAAAACCAAGGCAAGAAAGTGTGGGAACCTCTCTGGTGAGATGGGTTTACCATCCAAGTCAATGATGTTCAAGAACAATATGCCTGATGTCTCGGGCTCTGTCCTTAAATAGGACCAAGATATTACTGTTTCATCTCCCCACTCATTCAAGGAAGATTATTCTTGTTATAAAACTGTTAAAACACATGACTTTTTAAAACCTGAAATAGAAGAAATGACTCCAAATCAGGCAGTTAACTTGTTGGATAAGAAACACATTTTATTTGATGTTTGGTTTGTTGGGTGCTTCTATACAAAAGAAAGACAGCCAGGAGGTAGTGAGTGCAGGACAAGATCACAAGACTCTGCTACTGGGGTCCCCAACCCGCAGTCTGTGGTCTTGTGCCGGTCCATGGGCTTCCCAGGACTGGGCCATGGAAACGGATCTCCACCACCCCATGCATGCATGGTGGGCGTGTGACACTCGCTGATGGGCATGTTGTGCCCACGTACATGCACGCAAGCGCAACATGCCCCCTGCACGAGCACGACATACCCCTCAAGTATGACACGCCCAACCTGAGTGCAGCATCCCCCCCACGCATGGAGCCTGCAACCGGTCCACAGTTCCAAAACAGTTGGGGACCGCTGTTCCTGTTCATAGCACTGTCATCATGAAAAAAAACAGTGTTTATTATTTAAAAAGCACAATTCTTTTTTTTTTTCAAACATCAGACGCAGAACACTAGTTTACAAGTAGTGGTACAGTGGTGCCCCTCATAGCGAGGTTAATCCGTTCCGGATTAACCTTCGCTATGATGAAACATTGCTGAACGGGACAGAAAAAGCCATTGGAATGCATTAAACTTAGTTTAATGCGTTCCAATGGCTTCTTTACTCACCATTATGCGATGTTTCCTCATTGCAATGCCATTTTCGTGCCCTCGGTAAGCGAGGGCAGGGCGCGAAAATGGTTGTGGTGGCCATTTTGGGTCGTGCGGCGGCCATTTTAGAACCGCCGAACAGCTGATTGTTGGGCATTGCAATGTGAAGATCGGTAAGCGAAACGCTTACCGGTCTTCGGAATGCGATTTTCGCCCATTGGGGCCATCAGTAAGCGATCGCATTAGCGATCCCAAAAAACGGATCGCTATGTGATTTCGTCGTTATACGGTGCGCTCGTTAAGTGAGGCACCACTGTATATTTTTTGACAGTTGCTTAAATGTACTAAAAGAGTGACAAAGAATACAGAGGGTGACTTTATCACTTCAGGACTGCCCCAACATTTCATCTTCCTGCCTTCATTGCTACTTTCTGCCAGTAAGATGGGGTCCTCTACTTAACTTAAATATTTACTTGTTTATGTTTTTTGTGTATAGATAGGGATACTTTGTCTCACATCTTTAATAGGGAGATAAAATACAGATAAAGAGATAAAAACAACAGACAGGGAGATAAACTGCACTCTAGTCTGACCTTTTTGCCAATAGGAAACCATTCTGTCTTTCCATGATCTGTTCTAATGGCAGCTTCTTGTCCACCGTACAAGTTATGCACCAGGACAATCAAGTGCGGAAACACACCCATTTCTAGCAGACAAACTGTAGTTTTTCATGAGCTACAGTTATCACATGCTTTGCTGTATTCTGTAAATCATAGATTGGTCTGGTGAAATTCTTTAGTGCACTCCAGTAGCCAATGAGGATTTGCAATATGATCTCAGGTTCCTCTTCCTTTTTGAAATCCAGTTAAAAACCAGGCATTTCTCACTACA